TTAGCGGGGCGTGCTGCTCCGTGCCGTAGCCACGCAGCGTTTGTGCTGCAGGACACATTCCTTTATGTTCGCAATGTTTGCAAGTGCTCCGCGGGGATTAATTCAGCTGAGAGCCGCCTGTTTCGGGGCGAGTGGAGAAAAGTGATTTTCTTTATGAAGAACGTTTCCCCGTTATCCCTCCGGGCGGGTTCTGCGGCTGCCACCTCGAGGCAGCAGCGCTGCTGTGCTGTGACAATGACGCGTCTGCAGGACACCCCAGAGGGGCTTTCTTCTGCCAGTGGCTTGAATACCAACAGAATCCTGAAAAGGGGGAGAGAAAAAGCACTGCATTAGGCAAAAAGAACTGTCCTGCAGATTTTATTTTGTTGGGGAGAGTCCAGAGGAGGCCAACCGAGATGAGCAGAGGGATGGAGCGGCTCAGGGCTGAGATAATTGGGATTGCTCAGCCAGAAAAGAAAGGAGAGGGTTTTGCGTTGGCCTAATTGTGGCCCTCCACTGCTTCAAGGTAGCTGAATGTTGGAGAGGGACATTTTACAAGGGCCTGGAGTGATGGGACAATGGGGAATGACTTCAGACTGAGAGGGAGTAGGTTTAGATTGGTTATTAGGAAGAAATTCCAGGCCGTGAGGATGGTGAGGCCCTGGCACAGGTTGCCTAGAGCAGCTGTGGCTGCCCCATCCCTGGAAGTGTTCCAGGTTGGATGGAGCTTGGAGCAACCTGGGATAGTGGACAGTGTCCCCTTCCCATGGCAGAGTGGAACTAAATGAGTTTTAAGCTCCCTTCCAACCCACACCAGTCTATGATTTTATGATATAAGAGTTTTCACTGATTTCAATGGGCTACTGTTAATTTCTTGTATTTTTATGTCCTTATGCGACCTCTTCCTCACCTGTCAGAGGTAGCACCGCTCACAAGGGTTGCATGAAGTGGCTTCATTCAGGGAATAATTTCTTATTATTCTTATTATAAAAATCCTGCTTTTCACTCTGCTGGACATTCTACTTACAATCTGGCTTAATTGTCCCACCGTCTCCTTAGACTGTGAATAATTATCTCCATTTATATTGTTATCCTGAATGTATTTATAGCCTGATTCTTTCGGGTTAGCATCACCATCTGTTTCCTCAACAGTCACATATTCGGGGGAGAGTGAGTGCTCTTCACATTATGCAAGCAGCTTCCTTGATTAAACCAGCCCGGCTTGGATGAATTTTGTTATGAAACCCTGGCACATCTCTAACTCTCTGGCTCCTATTATCAATAACTCTGAAAAGCCCATCCATTAAATTAAGCCACTTTTAAGCTGCAGCTTGCATTTCAGAACTCTTGTTAACTGTGATTGATTAACGTAATTTAAGAGGAGATTTCCAATGGACTATAAAGACGGTGATGTGATTAGCAGGAAACTCTGATCATTCCTAACCCAGGGATAATACATTCAGGAGGAAGCCATGGGCTGTGGATTTCAAGTAGGGCCCCTGATTTTTCCAAAACATATCTAAGCAGTCATTTTACATAAAACATTATATTAAAAACATAAGCATAGTGCTGTAAATATAAAATTATAGCACGATAAGATACCATAAATGGGTGAGATCTGAGGATGAAAACAGATCATGCAAATATCACACTTAGACTTTGATCATATATTATCTAAATTACTCAGATTTTTAGACCTAAAGTATTTCAAGAGCACCAACATTAAGTATAATATATTATGTCTTTATAAGACCCGTATCACAGAGGTACTCAGGAGGATTTTACAGAATTTGAGAGGAAGAATATTCACACTCCAGTAAGAGCACATTCTCACCAGGCACAGTGACTGCACAGCTTCCCCGTGCTGACCTTGAACAGCAAGGGCAGACAGCATTCCAGGTAGTAATTTATCTCAGAATCACAGAATACCAGATTGGAAAGGATCTCAAGGATTATCTGACACAACTTGTCTTGGCGAAATCACAGTTGAAACAAGATCATCCAGCATCCTGTGCAGCTGAATATTAAAGTGTCCAGAATTGAGGGATTCACACTTCCCTGGGGAGATTATTCCAATGGCTGATTGTTCTCATTGTGAAAATTTACCTTGTGTCTGAACAGAATCTCTCCAGGAGCACTTGGGAAATTCTGCAATTGTTTCCCTGACAGAGAAACCAAATACAGAAAAGTTTCTTGGATATAATTCCTGTCTCAGTCAGGTGTAATTACCACTGAGTGCATATTCTTGCTGCACTGGGGAATTGCTCAAACATAGCAGAGTTAAGGTTCTGTTGTGGAAATGACATTTGAACATATTTTCATGCCTCGTTGTTTGCATATCCTTTAAAGTTCAGCTGCATTTCCATGTTCTGGAAGGCCATAAAATACGAATAATAAAAAATAATTTAAAAAGCCATTAAAAACAAAACCACATGAAATCATAAGGCAAGTTGAACTCAGTGTCACAATGTTTAATCGCTGCAGGGTTTTGTTTGTTTATTTTTTCATGTGTTAGCATCCTCCACTGATGCCTTGGCAATGATCCCTCCTCCTCCAGAATTCACTGGGTGTGCTGGTCCCATCACTGTTTCTGTATCTCACATCACCACTGCAGCCTTGTCCTTGCTCCTCAGTTTTCCACTCCTAGGAGAGGATGGGAAGCTGGTGATGGGTTATTTGAAGAGTGCCTGGGCCCCTATGGAGTTGTGGGATGGTGCCTGAAGGAGAGATAGCAGGGGATTATGAGGGATGTAAAGGGCTTTGAGAGAAATCTCCCAAGTTTGTCACTGCAAAGTTCCCCTTCTTCACACCCTTCTGCAGTCCCTCTCCTCTGCCTGTATTCCTCGTGTGTCCTCTAAGAGCTCTTCCAGGATGCCACTACTTCAGCTCCCCCAGTCTGCACTTCTGCTGCACACACACCCCAGGACCTTCTCTTCTCAGTGCTGCCTCTTGACCCTGCTTTGTCACCTTGGTGACTTTAGGGTGACCAGAAGTGGGGAACAGGACAAGTCTGTGACAGAAGCAGCTGAGAAAGCATTTGTGCAGAGCTGCTAGCCCATGGGCTACTGCGGGGGGTGGCCCAGGCGACACAGCAGATGGTGGCAGCGACAGCTTTCTGCGTCTCACATCACTCCCCCTCATCATCCAACTCCCACACACCTCCACCTTCAGGGACTGCAAGTAGCAAGTGTGGATGTGGGACAAACAGTGCTGCTGCAGAGTGGAAAGCACGACGAAGAGCACAGCATCCACAAGCTGCTGCAGCAGCTCACAGGTCAGGGGGCTTGGGTTCAGTGACAACAGAGCACAGCAGTGTCACCACAGCAATCCCTGAAATCCTCAGCCTTCATTAGCACCCTTGTCCTCCTCTGCACAAACCCTCAGGCTCTCAGCCTGGTCCGTCTGGCAATGAGCAAATGTCTAGACTCAGCTCTGCAGTTAATTGCTTTTTCAATGCTTATTTTGCTTCCCTGAAGAAGAAATAGATCTCGTGTACTTTGCTGAAATAAATACCCAGGACTCATCTTTTGGGGGTGTGAGCAGGGCCACAGTCACACTTCTGGACATCACAACTGCCTGAAGAGCAGCTGGTTTTACAGGTGTGGTTTTTGTAGGGAAGGGGAGGGTTGGTAGGGGAAAGAAGGTACTTGCTGGGAATGGGGCAAGCACTACCTTCAGGATCTCTTCCACAAGTGATCCCAAATTTGCATTACACTGACCAAAATCTATTAGAAATTCCCTTTCCCTAGCCAGGTGATTGAGTCATGGGGAGACACATACCACAAACAATATTCATCAGAACACCTTTTATTGATTAGGATCTTACTACTAAGCACAGCTGATCTTCTGCCTCTCTGATCACCTGTCTCAGATGGTCCAGTCTTGAAAGCATGGATTCCTAGAAGGTCCTGAGCTGAAAGGGATCCACTGTGTCCAACCCATTGCCCTACACAGGTTGTTACCACCATGGGGTTTATAATTTCTATACTCACTGTATTTTGAGCTCCCATCTTCACTCCCAACCACCACACTCCTGGAGCAGTGATGTGGCTTTTTCAGTCCCTGAGTTGTTTTATTTCTGTTCAAGAGGGAGGATACCGTACCCCAAAGGTACTGTTCATTTAACCTCATAGAAATGGCTTTTTGCATTAAACATGTTTCTGTAGCAGCCATGGCGTGGCAGCAGGACCAGGGCAGTGCCCGTCCCTCTGTGCTGGGCATTGCTGAGGGACCTCCAATCCTGGGGTCAGTTTTGGGCCTCTCAGGACAAGAAAGGCATTGAGAGGTTGGAGTGTGTCCAGGGAAGGAAGCAGAGCTGGGAAGGGTCTGGAGCACCGGGAGAGGCTGAGGGAGCTGGAAAGGGGCTCAGCCTGGAGCAAAGGAGGCTCCAGGGGAACCTTCTGGCTCTGCACAACTCCCTGACAGGAGGGGACAGCCGGGGGAGGCTCTGCTCCCAGGGAACAGGGACAGGACAAGGGGAAATGGCCTCAAGCTGTGCCACGGGCAGTTTAGGTTGACTATTGGTAAAAATTTCTTCACAGAAAGGGCGCTCCGGTCCCAGCACAGGCTGCCCAGGGAACTGATGGAGTCCCCATCCCCGGATGAGGTCTTTAAATGAATTTGAAAGCCATGTAGATATGGCACTTGGGGGCATGATTTAGCGCTGGGATGGGTGGACTCGACATCCTTGGCAGACTTTTCCAGCCTAAACGATTCTGATTTTTCACGATTATTCTCGAGCGGGCGCGGCTGCCCGAACCCTCCCGCCCTCACGCGGGGCCCGCCCCTCAGGCCCCTCCATGGCTCCGCCGCCCGTCTCCCCGCGGCTGCCCCGCCTGCTGCCGGCACCGAGCTGAGGGGCTCCGCTCCGCTCCGCGCCCGCCGCCGCTCCCGCGGCACTCCCGGCCCCTCTGCAGCGCTGCGGGATGCGGCGGGAGCGGCGGCCCGGGCCCGAGGGGGGCAGCGGGGCGGCGGCGAGAAGGACAGGCGCCGCGGGCAGCCCGGAGCGCCGGGCAGCAGGAAGGCCCCGTGTAGCGGCGGCTGAGGGAGGTGGAACGGGAAGGAAAGCAGGAGAAGAACGGGAGGAAGGGGAGAAAGGGAGGCCGGGCCGCGATGCCGCTGTACGAGGGGCTCGGCAGCGGCGGGGAGAAAACCGCTGTGGTGATCGACCTGGGACAGGCCTTCACCAAGTGAGTGCCCCGCACTGCGCTCGGGATTTGGGGGTGTCCGGTCTGTGTTTCAGACTCCAACACGGGGAGACGGCAGAGCCCCGTCCAGTGCCTAAAGGGGCGCCAGGAGAGCTGGGGAGGGATTCTGGACAAGAAGCTGGAATGACAGGACAAGGGGGAATGGCTTCCCACTGCCAGAGGGCAGGGTTATATGAGATACTGGGAATAAATTCTTGGCTGTGAGGGTGCTGAGGCTCTGGCACAGGCTGCCCAGAGAAGCTGTGGCTGCCCCATCCCTGGAAGTATTCCAGGCCAGGTTGGATGGGGCTTGGAGCAGCCTGGGATAGTGGAAGCTGTCCCTGCCCATGACAGGAGTGGAATTAGATGGTTAAGTTCCCTTCCAATCCCAACCATTATTCCGAGAATAATTACGTGAGGTTTCCCCCTTTCTGTGTTGATGTGTGTGGTGTGGAGCTGATAATGAACAGTCTTGGTTTTTTGTCTTGTGTTTTAGATCAAAACAAGGTTTAGTTTGAGTGCTGAAGCAGGAATGCTTGCTATTTATTTAGTATTTAACCTCGTGGGCCAAAAGCTTTGTTACCTGGGAATGGGAGGATTTAACAGAGCCTTCATGGATAGGGACAAGTGATTCCATGAGTGGCATTTTATGGATTCACGTCATGTGGCCAACTGAAAGCTTTTCCCAAATTTGGGGTGCTTGTGAGCTTTTATTCCCTGGGCATTGTTTATCCAATGAAACACTCTTCTGGAAAAGCTATTTCTCTGAATAGTGTGTTTTTAGGGTCTGTTTCTTCATTCTCATAGAATGAATCCATAGCTGGATTGTATGAGAATTGTTTGCTCTTTTCCAAAAAAAGGCTGAAGTTAGCTGAAAGTTCAAGGAAAACTGCCTGTACATACTGGGATGGCACAAGTATCTGTTTGAGACAAAAAAAGAAAATTAAATTTTGAATTGAGGTTGTTTCAAGATTTTTTTTTTCTTTAATGATCCAACATGCTGACAATTGTCAAATACCAACTGGCAATTGGTATTAATCAATTAAAAGCATGAATTGTTTTTTTGCATTAAAAGTGCTCCAAGTCCAGCAGCTTTACAGAATGCTGTAGTTTTCTTCTGAGATTTGTAGTTACTGGGAGTGATGAGGGTACAACAAATACAAGGCACTGAGACTAAAATAAACCTTGAGTTAATTTTGCTTTTAATTTCCTTTCTTCAGTCCATGGTTCTTGTGTGTTTGAGGAAGAACAGGTGGGTTTCTGAAAAGTTTGGTTTGGGGTTGCTGCTGTTTTTATCATTTTGTTGAGGGAGTCAATAAAAAAAGATACAAAATCTTTATCTTTTAGTCCATCTTTAAATTTATCTCCAGGTGGCTGGATAGGAAAACTGTGCAAAACCCCTCTCTGCAGTTTTAGAATTCACTAATTCATTACTCTGTGATAGTCCCTAGGCCCAGGGGGTCAAATGGTAACTTCAAATAATCAGGTTTTCAACATTTTCTTTCAGGTGTGGGTTTGCAGGAGAAACAGGACCAAGATGCATCATCCCCAGTGAAATCAAGAAACCTGATGTCTCAAAGGTGAACTGTTTTTACAGTGTTGGTATGTTATGGAATAGAAAGAATTTGCAGATGCTTTTTCTGTCCATTACAAGCCATTTTTCACTGCCTGAATAAGATATTCTGAAATACTTTTATATTTTTCATTATTTTAACTGTTGCAATTAAAAGCTGTGAGTAGGTGCAGGTAAATGTGATGCTAGTGCTGGTGTTAACTGCTGCTCAGTCCCCATGGAACTTGTGTTTTGGGGCATTTATTGAGAAATTGCTTTGCCTAGTTATGCTTTTTTTGTTTAATTTTAGGAGAGGGTGGCAGATTTGAAAACTAATCCTAAAATGCCTGCATGAAAAATTAGCATTAATTGACTCTGAAATTTAGTTATAGTGTGAATTTATGAGATGTTTTAAGGACAAAGAGAAAATCAGGCAAGAGTGAGTGTTTATATATAATGTCAGATTAAATATATATTATGTATGTATCATATATATTTATTTTTATATCATGTGTGAATAAATATATAGGTACATAAATAATCACTACCCAGCATTTGAGCTGACTGTGGATATTTTCCCTTCCCAGCCTATCAAGGTGGTTCAGTACAACATCAATACAGAAGAGCTGTATTCCTACCTGAAGGAATTTATCCACATGCTGTATTTCAGGTAAGAGACACCTCTTATGCCTTTCCTGAGCACTTTCAGGGCTGTGAGCAGGGGATGGACACTGCCTGGTCAGATAAGAAAACAGAGATAAAACTTTGCAAGGGGCTGCCTGGCTGTGTTGGTGGAGAAGGAATTTGGCAGTGCTGAAATCCAGGTTATCTTACAAAGAGTTCCTGTCCTGTAGCAGCAGTTGCTCTGTAAAAGCAGAAAGTGTATGATAAATGACTTTTCAGCTGAGGTATTTATAAAGGGTTTGAGAAGGGGAAGGCATTACCTCAGGAGTTGCAGTGATTTTGGTAGGGCTGAAGCTCCTGTCTGTGCAGAACTCTCTCCACAGTGGTTTGGAAGGAGGAATCTACCTGTGGGATGTTTTCACCTCAGCAATACATCTCTTTATTCTGTTCTTAGTACCCTTAGTGAATAATGAAATTGGACTTGGTCTTTTCTCTTTGTTTCCAATCCACATTTTTACACAGTGAAAGCCATCACAGGGAAGCTAGGATTTAATTTCTGTGCCTCACATCTGCTGTGGGTTGGGTTGTTTTCTTCTCCTGTCCTGGACCATCACTCTGTAATTGAAATCAGGACGATTTCATCCTCTTCCACTGAAATCAGAGCATCTGAGTATCAAAGTATCATCATTCTTATGTGCTTTATGACACTGTATGACACTGGACAAGCCATTGATGACTTATTTTTGTATTACCTTATATTGATTTGGAAATGTATAATGGATATACAGAACTATGGATATTCAGGCTCTGGCTGAAAGCTCTGTAACTTGTTTCCCCTGCCTCAGTTTCCTGGCTTTCTTTTCGGAAAGCATTGGGGTTTTTGGATTTGTGAAGCAGACTTTGGGGTCTCCTGTAGCAAGTGCTATCTAAATGCAAATCTTTAGGATTTTTGAGGAAAGTGGAATATGACTGTAGGATAGGTCTCATAATACGTGCTTAAACTTCCCAGTTTTATTTTACACATCTTGTTTTTTTTCAGGCATCTGCTGGTGAATCCCAGGGACCGACGTGTTGTGATCATAGAGTCGGTCCTGTGCCCTTCACACTTCAGAGACACCCTCACCAGGGTCCTTTTCAAGCATTTTGAGGTAAGTGTTTGACAGAAATGTGTAAATTTGCTCCACTTTCCAGAAGGAGTTTTGCTTACAGGCAGTGCCAGACGTGGCCAAAAAAAAGAAAAGTGGCAAAAGAGTGAGTGGCATAAAGAAGAAGAAAAATCTTGTTGTGAGGAAGTAGGGTGTAGAAATTGGATTAAAGACCATTTTTGTTCCATTCTGACTCTTCATGAGGCCACAAAGCAGCAGCAATTAACAAGACTCTGCAAGGTTTCTCTGGCTTGTAGATAATACAGCTCACAGTGCACTGTCCCAGACAGATCCAATAATCCCCATTGAGCACTGCCTGGAGCCAGGATTTATATTTAAACACTTGTTAGTACCCTGTCAGCAAGTCTCATGATTTCTGCCACAGTCAATATCTGCCTAGCACGTGGCTGTGCTCATTTAGGGAAGAACTTACCTGAAATCAAATGTCTTCTCTGCTTAATCATTCTTTTTGAAGAGTTGTGGGGAAAAAAAAACAGCCTGTGGCTGCCCCATCCCTGGAAGTGTTCAGGGCCAGGCTGGATGGGGCTTGGAGCAATCTGGGATAGGGGAAAGTGTCCCTGTCCATGGCAGGGGGTGGAACTGGATGATTCTTAAGGTTCCATCCAACACAACCAGTCAAGGATTTTGTGAAAAGTCTGAACCTAATTCTTGCTCAGTTGTAACAGAAAATATTTTAAAAGGTGACTCCATGGCTCTTCAATTCAGACACAACAAAGGTTAAGGTTTTTCTATAAAAAGTAGTGAAACCAGTTTGTCTGCAGTCCTTCTTCACTGTCCTTCCACAACACAATTTACGAATTAATCTCAAGCTCCTGCATAATTCTTTCTTACTATTGGTAAAATTTTCTGATGACTTAAACTTGCTGAAAGATTTGAGTCGGTTTTTTGAGGTAATTTTTCCTAATCCCTTTACAGCAATAAAATGTCTCAGCTAAAGTTCACCCCAGGCAAAATGTCAAAAATGGCTCATGTATTCAGTCACATTGTGATGGAGAGACTTTGTAACTTGTTAAGAAGTCAGTTAATACTGATGGAAGTTTAATTCTCTCTGGTTTCTTTTTTTCTGTTTGGTGCAGAGTGTTGGTTTATTAATACAGGGTCAATATTTTGCCTTCTGTCCCTGGGTTAAGGGTCAGTACATTTCCTTTAAGTGCAGGATCTATTGAAATTTCTCATTTAATTCACACTTCAAAGTGTTCCTTTAAAGGAACTGTTGCTTTCTAGGAAACTTGATTTATGGAATTCTGGGAGAAGGAAGTAGCTCTCATGTAATTTTAACTTGAGTTTCCACATGGTTTGTGGAAATTTGTTTTGTTTCAAACAGCCTCTTCTGTTTGGGTACAGCAGTGTTTGTCATAATGCAAAAACTTTTATGGATTTTCTAGCACTTTCATTCACATCTTCAGGTTTTTACAGGTTTTCAAGTAGCTGTACTTCAGCTTCTTTCATTTCTTTTCAAAACAGTAAGAGACTTGACCTGAGTTTTATAGCCAACACTTGCTTTTCTTACAAACGCATTCCAACATCTGTCATTACTTAAGTACCTGGTGTGCGCCACAAAGAAGATGAACACAGAATTTGGAGTCCTGTTGTATTTTGGTCATTAGATTAATACTGGAATAATTCAAGGTACAGTTGTTTGGGTTTTGCTTTTAAAATGCCATTCAGGGAAGGCATCAGTGCTTTGTTTCTTTTTTGTTTCTTTTTTGTTTCTTTTTTCCACCTTCTGTCAACTTTGCTTTTGGTTTCTGTGTAGGTACCTTCTGTTTTGTTTGCTCCAAGTCACCTGATGTCTCTCCTGACACTGGGGATCAACTCTGCCATGGTGCTGGACTGTGGATATGCAGAAAGCTTGGTGCTGCCTGTATCCTTTCATTTTCAGCAGTGGGGCTGTCCTGAAACGTGAGATTTTTATTGACTAGAAATTAACTTTGGACAAAAGCAGTTACAAGGTGGCTGATGCAAGGGATTGTAGAAAGGGAAAGGCATTTTGTTCCAGCAGACAGAAAACTCCTAATGAAAAAGAGGAGAATTTCCTGATCTTCCTGTAGATCTATGAGGGAATTCCAGTCCTGAGTTGCTGGGGTTCCCTTCCCCTGGGAGGAAAGGCCATCCACAAGTAAGTTCATAGTTATCAATTCCAGGTTACAAATGATTTGTTTATGAAGGTTACTCTTTGACTATGAGCAAAAATTCCTCTTTAAAATCTTAACTTGCTGTATCATCCAATTTCTGGAGTTAAAACTGTGCAGCTGTTGCTGATGTAGTAAAAACTGTGTGAATGGGGTCTTCCTAAGTTTATATTTAGAAGGATGTAACTGAAAGGAATTAATCCCGTCCCTGGAGTGTAATCCAGAGACCCAGGCTGAGTTCATGGCTGTGTTTCCCCACCCTCCTGTGCACTGTTTTAGGGAGCTGGAGTATCAGCTGTTGGAGCAGTGCACGGTGGATACAGGACTGGCCAAAGGACAAAGCCTTCCCTCCGTGATGGGTGAGGACTGGGATGGGGCATCTGTGCTGGGAACTGCACTGGGGAAAGGGTGTTAATCCTAACGGTGAATCAAGTGGGTTTAGGATTCACTGCATCTCATGTGGACCTTTTGCATGAATTCTTTCTTGGCATCCTGGCCTGGATCAGGAACAGTGTGGCCAGGATCAGGATCAGGAACAGCAGGAGCAGGGAGCTCGTTCTCCCCCTGTACTCAGCACTGGTGAGGCCACACCTGAGTTCTGTGTCCAGTTCTGGGCCCCTCAGTTTAGGAAGGACCTTGGGACACTTGTCCAGAGGAGGGCAACAAGGCTGGTGAGGGGCTTGGAACACAAACCCTGTTAGGAATGACTGAGGGAGCTGGGGTTGTTTAGCCTGGAGAAAAGGAGACTCAGAGGTGATTTTATCACTCTCACAACCTCCTGAAGGGTGGCTGTGGTCAGGTGGAGTTGGTCTCTTTCTCCAGGCAGCAACTGACAGAATGAGAGGACACAGTCTAAGCTGTGCCATGGAAAATCTAGGTTGGATATTAGGAAGAAGTTTTTACTGAAAGGGTGATAAAGTACTGGAATGGTCTGCCCAGGGAGGTGGTGGAGTCACCATCCCTGGATGTGTTTAACAAAAGACTGGATGTGGCACTTGGTGCCATGGTTTAGTTGAGGTGTTTGGGCATGGGTTAGACTCAATGATCTTGAAGGTCTTTTCCAACCTGGTGATTCTGTGATTTAACAAGTATATTATTTTTATGATAAGCCTCTTCTCACGGCAGTTTTGGATAAAGACTGAGATAAAAGTTCTGTAGTAATTTTTCAGTCTGTTTTGAGCAAAGACAAACATTTCTGTTCTTAATAAATTTTCTGCTTTGTTTAATATATTAAATGTAATTCAAACTTAGAACAAAAGTTGTTTTAAGTAGGAAGAGAATTTAAGAATGAAATTAAGTTGTGGGCTTTTTTTGTATTTCAGGCTCAGTCCCAGAAGACATAGTAGAGGATATAAAAGGTAAATTTGTTTGCTTTGTGAAACTCCAGTGTATGAAATTGTGCAGTAGAGTGTGATAGTAACAAGTGTGCAGTATTTTACATTTAGGAATTTATTTCTCTTCTCTGCTATATTTATTGCCTCTTGGATGAACTTTGTGTTGCTCTTCCTCTTTGAAAGCAAAACCAGGTGTTGAATTCCACTTCCACTTTAACCCTCTGCATTGCTGAGTTGCATCTTTGAGATATATTTGGTAGGTGGGCAGAGAAAGAGCATTGCATTGTGTGTGTAGTCTTGTTTATAGATTAACTAGAAAGGTTCAGTTTGCTTTAAAGTCAATTTTTCAAAAGAAAAAGAAGTATTTATAAAAGATATTTTGGTGTGTTAATCAAGGTAGGCAAGAGGAGAAAAGAACTACATTTACTACAAAAGAAAAAACACTCTTTCTTTAGACAAAACTTGGATGAATTCCTCTGTAATTGTTACATGTACAACAGATAGAAAAATACATGTTTTCCTAGAAAATAGCACCTAGTATGTATCCCTTGGGTCAAATTAGAAAGAAATCCATCAGCAAATGCAAAATAAATGCAGCTGGTGCTTTGTGAAACTGCTTTTCTGATTCCTGGACTTGCACACATTTTCTGACAAGTTGTGTTTTCTATGCAGTCTTTTGGAGCCAGAGACAGCAGGCTAGGGATGAAATTTTTGTGGTCTGTGCGTTGAAGGGTTGTTTCTTTGTGGCAGCAGTTTATGGGGAAGGTGCTCACCTGTGCCAAATACAAATAAATAAGTAGTAGCAGTAAATAAGTAAATAACAGTAGCAGCTGGGATACAAGTGAGACTGCGCTCTGTCAGTGTTGTCTGGAAGCAGAAAAACCCTCTGGAATTGTTTAATTTACAGTAAGGAAAATGTTGCATGGTAGGAGTTTGTTCAGAAAATGAGCAATGCCTCATTTGAAGCTGTGGTGCAAGACCTGCAGTGAAGGCAGGATACAACCCCTGGAACCTTGAGGCACCATTAGGAGCATCCCTGTGGATTTAAATCTGGTATGGTTTGTGTGAGAAAGGACAGGCAGGATTTCCAACATAATTTTAGTGTCGGCTTCATTTAACTTGTGGTCTAGAGAGCGCCTGAACTCTGCTGGAACATAGACACTGCTTCTCTTTGCATTTATTTGATAATATCTTGGACCAGCAAGGGCCTGGAGTGTGTGTTCTTCTCTAAATTAAGAAAATGTTTTTACTGCTGATGAAAGGATCCACCAAGGCCTCACTTGTGCCCCTCTCTTCCCCTCTGCTCAGTGCGTACTTGCTTTGTGAGTGATCTCCAACGGGGGCTGAAAATCCAGGCAGCCAAGTTCAACATTGATGGCAGTGCTGAGGTCAGTGAAGGATGAAGCTCCTCCTGCTCCTTTGAGGTGGCTGTAGCCTTTTTGGGCTCTAAAATAATAATACAAGTCTGTTTTTATTTCCAGCGTCCCTCACCGCCTCCAGATGTGGACTATCCTTTGGATGGAGAAAAGATTCTCCATGTAGTTGGCCCCATCAGGTGAGAAATGCCTTGGCAGAGTATTTGTCATTACAAGGATATATTTCAACTTCAAAAGCACATACATTTTTATGAAATTGGATTTTAATGAGACACTTGCACGTGCTTTTAATGCCTCTAAAACGAAAACTGTGCACTGGGCACAGTTCAAGCCCATCATGGGTGGGGGGTGGCTTCTCCAGAACTCTGAGAGGAAGATGAGAGCAGAGAGATTGGAGGGATGGGGGAAGAGAAATGAGTATCAAAGCCTGATAATAGAACAGGTTTAGTGATGTGAACAGGGCATTTTAACCTGGACAGAAGGAGGCTCAGAGGAAACCTCCTCACTCTACAACTCCTGACAGGCAGGTGCAGCCAGGTGGAGGTTGGGCTCTGCTCCCAGGAAAGTGACAGGACAAGAGGAAAGGGCCTCAAGGTGACTTGGGGAAGTTTAAATTGGATATTAGGGAACGTCTTCACTGAAAGGGTTGTAAAGCACTGGGACAGGCTGCCCAGGGAAATTGTGGAGTCACCATCCCTGGAAGTATTCAAAACACACGTGGATGTGGCACTTGGGGACGTGGTTTGGTGATGAACAAGGTGCTGATGCTGGCTTGAGGGCTGAATGTAATCATCTTAAAGGTTTTTCCCAGGGATTCCATGATTGTCCCAAGGATTCCATGATTGTCCCCTCCCTGCTGGCACTGCTGGGTGCATGGGCTGTGTGCCAGGAGTGACAAAGTGTTGGCAGCAGGAAGGCTGGAGGTATCTCCAGCTCTGCTGTGCCTGAGTTCAGCTCAGTGTGGTTTTGCTGCTCATTAACACTCCCTGTCTGTGCCACAGAGACTCCGTGGTGGAAATCCTGTTTGAGCAGGATAATGAGGAGACATCTGTTGCCACTTTGATCTTGGATTCACTTGTTCAGGTATTTTTATATTAGAAACAGTTTAGGGAATGCCTCCAGCTTTAAAGAACCTGCAGTTAAAAATGACTCAAGACTTTGAGTCCTGCAGGCTGCTGGTTTACCTGTGCTAGAATAAAATTAATTTGGACATCTTTATTACAGGCAGTATATTAAATTTATTGCAGATTTTTTTCATGGCATATACAAATGCTTCACTTCTTATTATATTTAAGGAAAAAAAATGCATTAGGAAACGACTATAAATGGAAATTTTCATTATGTGGTGGTGTATGTATGTTAATTAAAGTTGGCTCCCTGTAGCTATTGATGCCATTTAAATAAGTTTGCTGAGATGCAATTTATTGGAGAGACATGGACTTGGCTGATATGACAAACATTTCAATTAGAATTCTTTATGAAAACTAATTGTTTAAGAAGTTTTGTGCCTGGAGCCCTCACCTCTGCATCTCTGGGCATTTCCCTTGCATTACTCATTACGTTGGTTATTTTCTAGCTAAATATGAGGAAACAGCAATTGGAGGGCATAGAAATGGACTAAATTTCTAAGAGACTTCTGAATGGCTTCAAGCTCAGGCAGCCTGACTTATCTGGGGTTTTTTTGTGTCCCTGTTTTCATCAGTGCCCAATAGACACCAGGAAGCAGCTGGCAGAGAACCTGGTGGTGATCGGGGGCACGGCAATGCTGCCGGGGTTCCTGCACAGGCTCATGGCTGAGATCAGACACCTGGTGGAGAAACCCAAATACAAGGAAGCTCTTGCCACTAAAACCTTCAGGATTCACACTCCCCCTGCCAAATCCAACTGCGTGGCCTGGCTGGGAGGTAAGAATGGGAGCAACTGGGGAGCAGAGATGAAACAAAACCCTTCCAAGTGGGATTTGTAGTGAATAAAACCTTTTATTTTTAGGGTTAGCAAACCAGAACAATTTCTGTGCACCAGATCTTGTGATGCTTTTGTTGCTTGGCCAGCTGGTGTGGGCTGAGTCTTCTCACTGCTGGTGTGAATTTGTGGGGCAACTTTTTTGGGGTAAAAATTGCCCTGAACACAATGGGGTTTGATTGAAGTGCTTAAAATAAAAGCTTTGTTGTAAGAAGTGGGTCAACCAGGCCAGGTTTGCTGTCAGCAGAGAGCAGATGATTCCTTGTTTTCAGTTACTTTCCAGGGATATAAATGGAAGCAGTTTGGGACTTAAATGGGCTACTGAAAAAGAAAGCAGCAGTATCCATTCATCCCTTTAAATTTAGAGGCAGAGCTAGAAAATGCCAGTTGAGATTCTCGATAGGAAGGAGTAGAAAGAGAAATTCTACATGGAATTAATGCAATTTTTTTTCTTTGCCAATAATGTAGGAGCCATTTTTGGAGCACTCCAGGACATCCTTGGGAGCCGCTCTGTGTCCAAGGAATATTACAGCCAGACAGGCCGAATTCCCGACTGGTGCTGCCTCAACAACCCACCTCTGGAAATGATGTTTGATGTTGGAAAAGCACCCCCACCACTGATGAAAAGGGCTTTTTCCACAGAGAAATAAGCAACTAAATCTACACAAAGATTCTTCCCCATTTCAATTACATCCATTGGGGTTTGTTTTTTGTTCTTTAATTTGTGTGTAACACTATTAAATGTAAACAATGTGTTCATAGGTGTTGTCAGGGTAGGCACTAACACTATTGAAAACCCTATCCAGTTATAGTTTACAAACTCTGGCAACTCCTCTGCTCTTTTGTCTTGTTTTGGAGAAATTCTGTCCCCTCACAAGCTGTTCCCTACTGAGTTGTTTATTATTTATCTGTATAGTAAATGGCATTGCTGAAAGAAGTTGGTTTAAATACTTTCATTTTTAAGCATGCTGAGAAGAATGAACGGCACTAGGGAAACATCTATGGGAATTTTTGGTGCCAAAGTCTGTACTAAAATAATCCACCTTGAACCATATGTGAAGAAATGGTTTGGGGCTGTTTAGCAAAGGTAGTGGAACATTATTTCCCCTGTTTTAAGAATTTTAGCAGAGAACTCTTCTGTCTGTAATTCTCTCAGTGCTGAGCTAAAACCTCTCCCTATATCTCCTCCAAGAAAGATTCCAGCCGTGTAAGATGATAAATTATAAATTAATTCTAAACAGGTGTGTGGGGTCAAACTTGACTCTGGCTACATGGTGACTGCTGGTATCTGCTGGTTACTGAGGTTTAAATCCTACCCTGAGGAGAAATTTTTGTCTCAGATTTGGGAAGATAAATATAACATTTCTTGGGATGGTGATGACTTTTATTGGCACAAACATGCTTTTTGTGACAGATCTCCCCGTGCTGCCTGCTGCCCACCTGCCGTGTGCCTGAAGCACGACTCTGCAAGCCAAACAGATATTTAAAGAAATCCTCTCCTGGTGAACCCTGACACAGGGAATGTGCTACTGCACTTCAGGAACTCCTGCATGGTTTTGTCAGTGTGCTTTTTACATGTGCTGTTAGTTTTTATAGTTGTGGGATGAATTGGTGTTTTAGGGACCAGCTCCTGGTGCCGTTCCAGGCTGGATGAAGGGACAGTCTCATTGCCAGGCACAGCCAGCCAGTCTCAGGTGCACAGAACATGCAGCCTGAGCTGTGCTGCTCATTTTCAGCCACAATCTGGGTAAGTTGGGGTGCAGGTTCTATTTTACCTCAGTAAGAACTGAGCCAGAGCTTCCTGAGAGAGGAACTTGCCGTCAGCACGAGTCCTGTAGAGCTGGGAGCTCCTTCCCTTCTCAGTGGGAAGGAGTGAGGAGATGAAACTCCTACACAGCCGGTGGTGGTGGTGGTGCAATGAAGTCATTTTCCTGAACTGCAGCAGACTGCAGCTGAGGAAATTCAGGATATTCTTAGCCCTTTCCTTTTTGGGGGTATTTCTGTGCTGCTGTGCGCACGTACCCTGGGACCTCTCCTGGCGTGTTCTGCCACCTCATCTTCCTTCCACCCGCCCAGATCTCCTCCTGTGGGGTTTCTGCATCACTGAACAGCCTCAGCTGCTGCTGTTTCACATGGCAGGGACAGAATTCCTAACTCCCATGTTACTGCTGGCTTCAGTGCAGAGTCCCAGGACTTGCTAAGGCAATTTTTATTTCATTGAAGGGGTGAGAAAGACTCTTAATGGCGTGCCCTGGAAAGCCCTCAGAGATCCCACCCTAAATGTGTAATGGTGTAGAAATGGTTGGGTTTTCACCCTGACTGTTGAAGTTCTTCCCTCCCTGGCACAGCTGTGGGGTCTGTGGATGCTCCCAGCAGACAAATGCACAGTGAGCCTGCCTGGTTTAGCAGGAAGGGCAGTGGCAGACACAAACCCCTGCAGTAACAGGAGGATTTTCCTCTGAGGTTCTGGACTGGACACCATTCCAGCAGGCTGGTGTTGGCCAATTGCAAACAACTCCAGGTGAGTCCTGCAATCTGGAGGAGGATTTTGGAACATGCATGAGCCCCTTGTGGTCTGCCTGTGTCCATGTTGCATCAGCAGGAGCTGGTCCCTGGGAGAAGTGGCATCATCTCATTCCCTCATCTCCCTTTCCATGGAATCAGATTGTCTCAAGTCTGAAGGGAACCCCCTAAGGCTCATGGGGTGCAACTCCCTGCTCCTTGCAGGACTGCTTGAGGTAAATCCTATGGCTGAGAGCATTGTCAGCTGCTCCTTGAGCTCTGGCAGGCTGTGAGCACTTCCCTGGAGGGCCTGTCCAGTGATGGACCAACGCAAACAGCAGAATCCCAGAATGGTATGGGTTGGAAGGGACCTTAAAGCTCACCCAGTTCCATCTCCTGCCATGCCCAGGGACACCTCCCACTGTCCTAGGTTGCTCCAAGCCCCGTCCAACCTGGCCTGGAGCACTGCCAGGGATGGAAACAGTCCCAGCTTCTCTGGGCAACCTGGGCCAGGGCCTCCCCAGCCTCCCAGGGAAGAATTTCCTCCTATTATAAACGCCCCAGCTCCTGTCCCGTGGGCCTGCTCTCCTGGAGTTTGTGTTTAACCAGGGTTGCTCTATCCTGGATAGAGAATCCCACACTGGCTCTTGGTACATTTCCCATGACAGGTGCTTGCCCAGCTCTCTACTTTATCCAGGTATCTCTGTAATTCCTCTCTATCTGCGAGGGAGCCCAGCGCTCCTACTTGATTAACATCTGTTTCCTGCACTGTTTTTTAAAAAAATAAAATTTCCTGTGTTTAGCGGTCACAGCCCAGCTCCTCATGGCTCCCACATTTATTATGCACTTGTTATTCACAAAAAGTTTTTCCCACTGACAGAGTGGTTACGGATCACTGTTGAGATAATCCCGAGTGTCTCCGCAGGGGGCTTTTCCGTCCGTGCTTCCGCCTGGATCCCTTCAAGGGGTCCAAAAACACTGCGCCCAACGTGGGGCTCGAACCCACGACCCTGGGATTAAGAGTCCCATGCTCTACCGACTGAGCTAGCCGGGCGCTCGGAGTGTTTGTGACACTACAAGCGATTTAACGTAGCGCATGGTTACGTCACGCCGGGAGCGCGGCGCGGCGGCCAATGGGAGCGCGCGTTGCTGGGCGGTGGGCGCGGGACGGGCTGGCAGCGGCGTCGCCATGAGCTCGATCGGCACCGGGGTGAGTGCGGCGTGAGGGGCGGCACCGGCAGCGCGGCCCGGGCACAGCGCGGCCGCCCCGACCGGCCCCACCGGCCCCGGGGCCGCCCCGTGCCGGCAGCGAGCGCAGCGCGGCGGCTCCGGGACACTGCGGGCGGCTGAGTCACTGCGGCCCGGCAGGCCCGGGGAACCGGCGGCGGGGCGAGGCGGGCACAGGGATCATACACTTATCGTGCCCCTCTATATAATATTCTTCTGTGCGTTTCAAATGTACTCCTGTGATCCATACGTTTAAATTATTATTGTCATACAGAGAAGCAGGGGAGGGACTCTTGATCGGGAGCTGTAGTGAAACGACAAAGACTGATACGGGTACAAAGCGAAAGAGGGAAAATCAAGTTTGATATTGAGACGAATTTACCCCGTGAGGGTGCCCAGAGCAGCTGTGGCTGTCCCTGGAGCCCTGGCAGTGTTCCGGGCCGGGCACTTGGAGCAGCCTGGGGTAATGGAAGGTGTCCCTGCCCATGGCACCTCCAGTTGGAACTGGACGAACTTCAGGGTCCATTCCAGCCCAAACCACTGTGATTCCATGAAATATAAAGCTATCATAGGTTTTGAGTGTTGTGTAATGCTCAGTGATTTCACATTCAGGATTTGCAGTGTGGGTACATCCAGCACTGATGAAATGGCCTTTCCTGGCTTTTAGTCTGTTTTCTTCTGTTTCTACATCTTTTATAAGGGGTCAGCCTGTTTTTGGGACTTCACACCATCTCTGGCAGTGACAGGCTTGAATTTTTTTAATAAATAGGCTTGATCTGAAAATGCTGTGATATTATGTGGGTTTTTCTTCCTGAGAATTGTGTCTTCTTCTTCAGTATGACTTGTCAGCTTCCACGTTTTCTCCAGATGGCAGAGTGTTTCAAGTGGAATATGCTATGAAAGCCGTGGAGAATAGCAGGTAAGATACAAATATCTGTATCAAATATCTGCTCTTTTGGCCTCATTTAAAGCAGTGCTGTTGGACTAGAGAAACATGAGGGTAAATTTGTGGTGGTAAAATGAGTTCTGATCCAAAAGCCCATTTTAGGGATGTGGATTGAGGCATGCTCAGGACCTTCCATGTAAATGTGTGTCAGCTTCCTAGGGATTCCTCAAGACATGGAGGACATCCAAGTGCTGTTGAAGCTGCACCAGCTGCTCTGGGAGTGTCTCTCTTCCCTGGAGTGCATGTGAAGGAATATTGGGAAGTGGAAATCCCAGCTGTGCTTTAGGGGCAGTGAGATGGATTGGCAGGGCATGGACTGGGTGAGCCAGGGGTCTGCTCCAGATAAGGATTAAAATCACAGAATCCCGATGATTTGGGGGTTGAAAGGGACCTTAAAGATCATTTAGTTCCACCCACTTGTTTTCTTCAGTGCTGGAGTTGTGACAAACCTACTTTGGGGGAAATCATGTCACTGTTTCTTCTGTCTTGGTCATTCTCTATGAAGTATTTTACATTGTGAGAAACTGACATTTTTCTTGTTTTTCAGTACAGCAATTGGGATAAGATGCAAAGATGGTGTTGTCTTTGGAGTAGAAAAATTAGTCCTGTCCAAGCTTTACGAAGAGGGGTCCAATAAACGCCTCTTCAATGTCGACCGACACGTTGGGATGGTAAGGTGCCATTTCATTTTAGGTCTGTAGAAATTGTAAGGTGACCCCCCCTCCCTCAAAAGGACAAATTTAGGAATCAGAGAATCAAAAATAAATAGATTAAGAAAGTAATGTTAATGTGTCTGTTCATAAAGTCAGAAATGCCAGTGGATTTTTTACTATTTTCTGTAATTTATTCTTTGCACTAAAACATACATGAGTAAAATTCAAATTTAAAGTAGGAGATTGAGGCTGTTTTAAATTTTTAGAAATGCTTTTCCAGTTGATCAAATTTGTAAATATAAATATAATAATATAAATATAATATTTATATTTATATTTTATATTTATAATAATACAAATGTAATAGAGATATAAACACAAGTGTTAAAATGGTACTCTTTTACACAGTTACCAAATAAAGGGTGTTCAGGGAAAACACGCTGCATATGAAATTTCCTACTCAACAATGTGGAAATCACCTGAATTGCTTAAAGATTGGTGTATGGAGGCCTGGCCTGTCCATAATAGTGATGTCAGAACAGTGCCAAGGAGTGGCTGCAGTGTGACAGAAACCTGGTGAATACACACAACATGAAATATTGTTTGGGTTGGTGTAGTCACAGTCAATCATGAGATGATAATTAACACGAAGATAACTTTGGTTATTGATGTTCCTGGAGAACAACTCTATTAATATATGATGATACTGGCATGTT